TTCCCAAGTTGATCCCAAATCCCAAATTTTGAGGCTTCTCCAGGAGATCCCAAATCCCGATTTTTTGGGGGATCCCAAATTTTGGGGATCCTCAAACCCATCCCAGGAGATCCCCGAGGGGATCCCAAATCCCCAAATCCCGGCCCTGGGAATTCCCAAATCCCCAAATTCCATCCTGGGGGTTCCCAAATCCCCAAATCCCATCCTGGGGAATTCCCAAATTCCATCTCAGGAAATTCCCAGATTCCAAGGAATTCCAAATCCCAAATCTCCTCCCAGGGAATTCCCAAATCCCATCCCAAGAGGTTCCCAAATCCCAAATTCCACCTCAGGGGATCCTAAATCCCGAAATCCCATCCTGGGGGTTCCCAAATCCCCAAATTCCATCTCAGGAAATTCCCAAATTCCACCTCAGAAAATTCCCAAATTCCATTTCAGGGGATCCCAAATCCCCAAATTCCACTTTAGGAAATTCCCAAATCCCCAAATCCCATCCTGGGGGTTCCCAAATCCCCAAATTCCACCTCGAGGGATCCCAAATCCCAAATCCCAGAGATCCCTGAGGGGTTTCCAGGAAGGGAATTCCCAGTTTCCCCTCCCCCACCCCTAATTAACGAGCTGTTAATGAGCTGCGAGCCCTCATTTGCATATCCCAGATCCTCTCCTGTTCCTGGGATCCCAGAATTCCAATCCCGGATTTTGGGTCTCCCCAGTGACGTCACAATTCCCAGAATTCCAATCCCAGATTTTGGGATTTGGGGCCTTGTAGGTGACGTCACAATTCCCGGAATTCCCATCCCAGATTTTGGGATTTGGGGCCTCTTTGGTGACGTCACAATTCCCAGAATTCCAATCCTGAATTTTGGGATTTTGAGCCTTTTAGGTGACGTCAGAATTCCTGGAATTCCAATCCCAGATTTTGGGATTTTGGGCCTCCTCGATGGTGTCAGAATTCCCAGAATTCCCATCCTGAATTTTGGGATTTTGGGTCTCCCCAGTGACGTCAGAATTCCCAGATTTCCAATCCCTGATTTTGGGATTTTGAGCCTTGTAGGTGACGTCACAATTCCTGGAATTCTGATCCCAGATTTTGGGATTTTGGGCCTCCCCAGTGACGTCACAATTCCTGGAATTCCAATCCTGAATCTTGGGATTCTAGGCCTTGTAAGTGACGTCAGAATTCCTGGAATTCCCATCCCGAATTTTGGGATTTTGGGCCTTGTGGTGACGTCACAATTCCCATCCCGGATTTTGGGATCCCGGATTTTGGGATTTC